TATATATATATATATACGTTATAAATTTACAAAATTAAAAAACAAGCTAATAAATATAAAAACTTAGAAAAACATTAAAAACAAATGGATAATATAAAAATAAAAATATTAATAAAAACTATAATAATATCTCAAAATAATACTGAGGCAGAGTGGTCAATATAATAAAACAAAAACGAATAAAAATGAGAAAAAGCAACATAATTACTAAAACGGGAACTAAAATTTAAATGAAAATAGATAATATAAAGATAAAAACGAATTCCAAATATTAATAAAAACTGCAATAGTATCTCAATGATACTAAAATAATACTGGGGCAGAGTGGTCAATATAATAAAACAAAAACTAATAAAAATAAGAAACAACAAAACTTTAGCTAAAATTGAAATGAATGTGGATGATATAACAATTATATGGTAATGTATGCACATAATGATGATAGCAGTCCTAACCATGAAAATACATAATTTATTGTTCTTGAAATTATACAGGATTCATATAGAACCTAATTAATTTCGTCAGAGTTTTTTTCTTTGTATTTTCGATTAGCATGCGTAGGCTGCTAAGCTAACATTCTGTCATTCCCTGTGAGTAGCATGCTAATCAGTTAGCCTGCTAGGCTAACACAACCAGTGGAAGTTTTAGTAATCAGAGCAAAATATTGAATTTCACGCTGTATTCAGAAATGCATATTGTAATATATATTCATAATCAATAATGATGTTCACTTGAAAAAGTGTATAGAAATATGTATTATAAAACAGAAAGATGCAAAATTACTTTCCATAACCGCCTCCAACAGAAAGATATGACACTTCTGAGTGGATTGCCTCTTTACTGGCCTCTTTTGGTTGGTCCTCTAGTTTTTCCCTGACTTTTCCCAGCAAGTGGATGTGATCTAATTTCTTTAACCTCTGTGTTTTGTTCACTCAACTGTAGGCGTGTCAGCACGGATTCGCCCAACACTTAGAACACCTTCTGTTCTATGGGGCAGACACCACTTCCCAGAATGCATCAGGAAACACTGCCCTCCACATATGTGCCCTTTACAACAAGGTAACCTGACAGAGTTTGACAGTAAAACACCAATACAGATGTGACACCAGTGCCTTTGACTTTCAAGGTGTAGTACGGTCTTATTTTATTATTTTATTGATTATTTGATTAGCTTTAATTTTAAACAATATAATTTTAATTAAATTTTTTTTTGTAATTTTATGTTCTTTCTGTGTAATTTTTCTTTCTTTTTTTTATAATATTATAATTTAGGTTTATTTTTAATTCAGTTTTAGTTTTACCTTCAGCTAAAACTTATTTCAGGTCATTTCAATATTTTGTTTTTGTGTGTCTAATATTTATATATATTTTATTTAATATTTATTTTATTTATTTTTTAGCTGTTTTCAGTTTTTCTGCAGGTCTTAAAAAATCTTAATTCGCCCTTCCACAAATGAAGGCCTTCGAAAGGTCTTAAATCAGAGCAGGAAGTCAGAAATGGATAAAGTCATGGCATTAAATGTTGCATGCACTGCAAATAATGAATATCTTCCTCAGTATTTTGGACTTGTTTTCCAATACAAATATCAAAATTACTTGAGGTGCGAAATGAAGATATGAAGCCTTGCTTTCTGAGAAATTGAACAAAATTAAGTGAGTTCATTTTTTCTGAGAAACTGAATAAAATTAATAAACATAAACATAAGAGTTTATGTTTAAAACAAGAACAAATATCTGTCAATAGGATATGAAAACTTGTTTTTCTCTTTGAATTAAGTAGATTTTTCTGAGCCCATTGGCAGATTTGTTCTTTTTTAATCATAAACTCAGTTCATTTTGACCAGTCTTCCAGAAAACAAGACTGCTTATCTTGATTTAAGAATCTCCTCTGTCCAATCAGGAGAGCTGCGCCCGGGTCCTTCTTTACCGAGGAGCCAATAAGGAGATAAAGAACAAACACGGTCAAACCCCTTTCCAGGTATCTGTGTGTTAATCATTCTAATCAAAATGACTTCTTATACATGCATGTGGGAGGTTTCACCACTGTACTAAACATAAAAGGCTGGCAAGACATAAAGACATTTACGTAGATAAATGTTTCCTAGAATTGCAAAGATTGTCCTCATATTAAAGACTGCATTGTTGCAAAGTATATAGCAATGCTGTGTTTGACAGGTCGCTGTGATGTCTGGCCATTTTGAACTTGGAGAAATCATCAAAAATCACAATAATGGAGATGTCGGTAAGTTTATATTTAAAATGTGCAAGAAGACAGAAAGAAATAAGCATACCATAGCTCTCCTCCAAAATCTAGCTTATGCAGGCTGTTCTTTAAAGGTGGGGTAAGCGATTTTTCAAAAACGCTTTAGAAAACTGATTCGGGCCGACTAGCAAAACAAACTTGTAGCCAATCAGCAGTAAGGGGCGTGTCTACTCATGATGTGGAGGAGAGAGCGTTCAGTGCTCACATTAGCGAGCCGAGCGACAGAAAGATAGAGATGGCGGATAAAAAACAAAGAGGAAAACGTCTGCGGAACAAAAGAAGGCAATAAGGCAAGAAGTAGGACCCGTGTAAATATCGGATCAGCTTTCCAGCACTGGAGAGAACTCAAGGAGCGGAAGGCCTGCGATCAGATGCCGAGGTTGCTTTGTTTCTTCTGGATAGGTGAGTAAAACTGTGTCTGCGCTGCAACAGCTAAAGTCTGTCTAGTACACTGGACGCGACAAAGCGATCGTTGAAAATCATTTGAAATTTGTGTCAATACGTCATGAATAGAACGCAGCAGCAGTTTTCTGTCGGGGATTTGTCGTGTCGTGAAGCGCCACATTCAGTGTAGACCATAGATATGTACTGTATATATATCTATGGTGTAGACAGCATCACTGATTATAATGAGTTCTATAGTATTTTGTCGCACCGCGCCACTCGCGTCCGGTGTAGACACGGTGTAACATTGGTTTTGCTTTGTTTCACAGAACTAATCATTGCCTGGGTTGCGTACGTATGTGTGGGGCGGAGCTATCAAAATAGGGGCGAGACCCTTTTGGGGTAGGGGCGTGTTAGTTTTGGTGATTTCAAATGTCAACATTGGCTACCAGAAATCACTTACCCCACCGTTAAGACATGATTTTGTTGCCTGCAAAGATGCCTTATTTTGGTCAAATTGGAAGGCAGAATCACACGCGTCCTTCATAGAGAAGCCAAAACCCATAATGCTTTGTGACAAGCTCAATGTGAAAAATTAAAGTACTGATAAACAGCTATTTCATCTAATTAAAATAGACCATTTTACTCAATATTTGTGTTTTTTTTATTTTTATGCTTATTAGAGTGTTGTATCATTAGCTTTGATACCAGTGTTGTTATTACCTGAAACTAAAACTATTAGTTTAAACATAATTATTTAAGTATAAAAAAATGATGAATCATTAATCAGCTGAAATAAAAAAAAATATATAAAATAATAAAATATCATAATAAAATAATAATAAATAATAAAAAAAAAAACTAAAATGAAATAAACGTAGGCACTAAAATTAAAAATAAAGGCAAAAGCTAATTCAAAATATTAACATACTATAAAAGTAAATAATACTAAAATAACACTATTAGGAACATGCTAAAGTCAAGCTCCATTTGAATCAATTCTCACATGCTTCATTATTTTCTACCTATGTAGAGCTTCCAAATCGCTTGCTTGTGAAGTTCCTTTGAAGGCAGCTGCCTAGGTAGACATCAAGGCAGCTCACTAGGTTCTGGAACAGAGCCCATCTCTATATGATCTCTTCTTCTCTAATCTTTTATTCTTTTCCCACCAGTTCCGTTTTTGGAAACCCCCAAATACGCTCCTCTCTTTATGGACGGTATGTTGAATCAAGCCATCATGGCTGGCCTTCAGCATCCTCACCCGCTGCTCCGCGCCAAGAGCGAGAACACGGTGACGACGCTCATGGACCCTGTAGTGCTGCCCGCCGCTGCCGCCAGCATGCCACCTGCTCAGGTAACCCTTCACCTCCTGCTGGCCATCAGGGGAACACGCCAGCACAGACATCAGTCGCCAAATCATTTGTTTTCTCTCATTTCAATCAGACTCAGCGCCGGGCCTCTTTCGCTTTGAGGAGCTCCAGCAGTCCCCGCGGAGCCCGAACCCGATCCCCGTCCCGAGGGAGAGAGGGAGGCGAGACGGAGGAAAAGCAGCACAAACAACGAGGGAGGCAGGGGTGAGTACAGATCCCTGGTGACCATTTTTGACCATTGTATATAAAGTGGTGATGTTTTTCAATATCAATATCAAATCCTGTAAAAGTTTCACAGGTTTTGTTGGTGCAGCAACACTAAAAAATAAAAGTCACTAAAAAAAAAAACAAGAAACCTGATGTATATAATTGAGTCTGAAATAATTCAGTGTTTTTTTTTAATCAGTAATTGTTTTAAACATGAACCATCTGAATAAACCAATTCACTAAATTAAATACATAAATGAATAGATTTAAAAATACATACATACATACATACATAGAAAAAAGCAAATGCATATGATAAAAAATCATTTAAAATAAAAATGTTAATGATTAAAATCAGCAAATAATAATAAAAATGAGATTGAAATGTGATTATATAAATAAATAATATAGCTAAAAGTACAGTAAAATACTAATGCTAATTACTTTCGCTAATTAAAGAAAAAATTATATAATGTAACAGAAACTAAATATTTTCCAAATTATATTTCACTATTACAATTTTTCTATAATTATATTATATTATATTGTATTGTATTGTATTATATTTTTCTTTTTTTTGAATTTATATATTTTTTTATTTACATTTTTTAGGTTGTTTTTGTGCTTTTGTCATTTTTATTAGTTTTTGTTTAGATTGAATTTATTTTTGTTTCAGTTTTAGTTCAGTTTTAGCTTTCATTTATTTACAGTTTTCATTTTCATTTAGTTTTGTTTAATTTTAATCTAATAATGATTTTTTTTATTTAATTCATCTTTATTTAAATGAGAGAATTAGACATTGTAGTGTTTCACATGAGCGAGAGCGAGACTTTCTAGGAAACTTATTTATCTATTATTGTAGCGCTTTGTCTCATTCCTGGAAAAGCTACAGTATTGTGGTTAACTTTAGAAGCGCTGCTAGGTTAGTTACTTACCGACGCTCTGTGTTGAACACACTGCAAATGATGACAAACGGCACAAATCTTTCTGACTGGGAAGAACAGTTCAGGCTGTGCTGCAAAATCAATCATCAGCCTCTCAGCAGGCCTAAAGCACAGCAAACCAGAGCAACTCCTGCAACCACGGGCTGCTTTTTAACCAAGCTCAAACCGATGGAAATGAGAATCACCATAGGGCATCATAAATTAATAAATGAATTTCCCAGGATGCCTCTGGGTTGTAATTACATTTGTTTTCTTTCAATTTACCCCGTCGTTTGATTTCAGTGCTGGGAAACGTTCCTTTGGTGAATAAACAATCTCAACCTGTCAGGAACTTTTCCGGGTCAAATTTCACCCCCCTAATTTTTAATTATTAAAAATTAATATAAAATAATTTAACAATAGTAAATTAAATCATTTAACAACACAAGTTCACAGTTGTCTGATGTTGGTTAATGGTCACATGACATGCAGGTAAGCAAATAAAAAAAGTGTTTTATCTTAATTGTTTTCATTTTAGAAGTATTTATTTTAATTTTACATTTTTATCATTTAATTTAATTTTAACCTTGAATTAATTTAATTTTAAAAAGCAAAGCAATATTTTTTTATACATTTTTAATCAACTGTAATATGCTATAGACAGCAAAAAAACATTGTATTATAATAATTAGAATCAGAATGAGATTTCTGAAAAAAAAAAAAAAAATATATATATATATATATATAGACATAGGTCTAAAAACAATCACCATTCAGAATAATTAAATAGTAATAATAATAACTATAAGTAAATTACTAAAAACTAAAATGTTTGGATGCATTAAGGTAATGAGAAGGTTAAATGTGCGTAATTGTCATGACCATTTTTAATGGCCCTAAAAATAGGTTTAATTTTTGGTTTTAATGATATTTTAAGCAAACCGTCATTATTTCTTTCTTTTTCTTTTGGGGCAAAATGTGACCTGGATGTTTTGTCTTGCGATTCATCATACTGCATTTTAGCTTATAGCGTTTGAGATGTTTCACTCAACATCAGCTGTTCAGTAGTGCGTGAACATCAGGGGGACGTTACAGGAAAACCAAAGAAATGCCATTGATTATATGGACAAATTTCAAGTGTAAATACACGTTTAGATCTTCTATCATTGTGGTGTTTTTATATGTTAAACTGTCAGCACTGGTTTCTGTTGCACTCTTATGGTACATTACAGAAGCTCTGACTCACTATTTTGCACGTCGTGATTTGCGCTGTTCGGCTTCTGGCCAAAGCTCCACTGCCACACTGAGTTAATTCTTACTCAGTGGCTTAGAAACAAACACTTTCTGCTGTGTAAAAGAATCAGTTATCATGCTAAAACATTCACTCTGTGGCATCTATACAGTAGTATATCTGACGTTTATTCAGACTAGGAGTGGATTCTTAAACTTTTGCTTTTCCGTTTGGTCCAGCCAGTCTTGAAATTTTGGTAGCATCCTTGAAATAATGATTTTGTATGAGGGTTTTGTCCCACGGTGTTCAATAATGGATGAGATCCAAATACTAAGGAGTTATTACAATCATATTCCTGCACCAAATCCTTGGAAACTTACCCTACTTAACAAAGCCAAGCCAACATTATTCATTGGTACTAATGCACAAAGTCACCCGCCTACACTATTTTTTATTACTTTGGATAGGATACAACTTTTTGCCTGCATGTTCACATTATTGTATTCTGTATTCCTCTGTCTGCCCCAGTGTTATTTTAGTATTATTTATATACAGTGGGTACGGAAAGTATTCAGACCCCCTTAAATTTTTCACTATTGACATTTTAAATGAGCTTTTATTCAATTTCATTTTAGTTTTAGTAATTGTTTATCAGTTATTGTTTTTTTTTTAAAATAAATATTTCTATATAGTTTTTATTCATTTTTATTTTAGTTTTAATTTTAATACTTTGAGTTTTTTATTTTAGGCTTGTTATATGTTTTGTTTATTTTTTATTAGTTTTTTATATTTCTATATAGCTTTATATCTATTTCAGTTTTACTTTTAGTTATTTTAGTGCTTTAGCTTACACATATTTATTTCAGTTAGTTGCCAAAGGCAATATTTCTAATTTTTGTTTAAGTATTTGTTTAAATATTTTAAAGTATGTTTACGTGTTTTTGTAATTTTTCATGTTTTTTTTTTATATATATATATTTCTGTATAGATGTAATTTATTTCAGTATTAGTTTTAGAAATTTTTGTAGAAATGTAAGATTGTTTTTTCATCTTCTGTGTAGCTTTAATTTATATTTCAATTTTAGTTTTAATTAATTTACTTCAGCTTAAACATATTTATTTCAAAACTTTCAAATTTTTGATCACTTTTGTAAAGTATAAGTTTGTGTTTTTGTAATTTTTAATAGTTTTTTTATACAGTATATTTCTGTATAGCCTTGATATATTAGTCTTTTATATTTCTATTTATCTTTAATTGATATTTATTTCAGTTGTAGATATTTTAGTACTTTAGCTTTAACATATTTATTTCAGTTAGTTGTCAAAGGCCATATTTCAAATTTTGGGATTTTTTTTTTTTTTTGTGTGTGTGTTCAAATTTGTAATGTTTTGTAATTTTTATTAGGTTTATATATATATATATATATATATATATATATATATATAATGTTTGTTGTCCTATATAGCTTTCTATTTGTTTTATGTAATATTTTCACAGTTTAGTTGTAATATTTTAGTATGCCAACTTAAACATAAATTAGAAGTGTTGCCTTGGCTATAATTGAAATGTTTGTTTTTTTAATCTAATATTTATTTTATTGTATTTCAGCTTTATTTTTCAATTACAGAAAAATATTTTTAATAGGTTTAGTTGTAGTTAACAGTAACAGCATTGGTTGCTCCGTGTGTTTTTGTGTGTTATAGAGGAGGTCAGAGGAAACGTCTCTACAGCGCCGTTCCGGGTCGCGTGTTTGTGGCGACGCGTTCTCGCTCCGCTCACGGTGAGCGCGAGATCAGCCTCAGCAAAGGGGACAAGGTTAAAGGTCAGAAGACTTCTCTTCAAGTCAGTATAAACATCTGAAAATTTAAGGTTTATTAAAGCTGTGTCAAACCCTCTCAGTGTTGAGTGTAGGTGAAGGGGGATTCTGGGAAGGAACAGTGAAGGGCAGAACAGGCTGGTTTCCTGCTGACTGTGTAGAAGAGGTGCTGCCCCAAACCCAGGAGCAGCACACAGGTACTGCATACAAATCACACCTCAGCTCTCTTTAATATCTCAGCGGTGTCTGTTAAGATGAAGTAGAAATAAATTAGCCTTTATTTAAGTCTTAACAGTGTCTCAAACAGTACTCCGGTTTGAAGAGGTGCTAATGTGTGGACAGTAAGAACTAAAACATTTATTTCATGAATTTGAACCCTTCTGTTGCTCAAAAAAATGTCCTATGATCCCTTACAGGGTTGTTACCTGTTGACAGCTCTTGGTGTAAATTCATATATCAGCAAATGTTTTCCTTTGGATTCTGGATAATTTTTGACAATAGAAGGAATCGGAAAAATAGCTGAGATATGAGTTGATATTTGAAGCATAACTGAGAAATCCAGCTCTCCTGATCTATGAAAGATAAACGCTAATGTTCTTCCTCTGTGCTTACCTGGCTATCTAAATGTGGACTTCTGTTCTACTTAAATTATGTTGTATGTAATAACTATCGACAAACCATAATCCTAAAACACAATGGTGGATTATTTCATTTCTTTATGAATCCTTTATGGGTCTTTTCTCTTTTTTTGAGGATGTCCCCAAGAGCTTTTCCCTGTGGTGATTTGCCTTCTCACATAATCTTCATGCGCACAGCACACGAATATGCAAAATCACATCAATTTGAATACATCACACTTCCACTTACACAGATATACACGCCTACATGTGCTAACAGTCAGAGTGTGTGTGTGTGTGTTTCAGAGAGCCGCAGTGAGAAGGCAAAGAGGAAACTGTTTCGTCATTACACAGTAGGAACGTACGATGGTCTTGAAGTGCCCAGGTGGGAACAGAAAGGATTCATTTGTTCAAATTTTTAATATTTAAATTTGAATTAAATAGACCTTTATCTGTCTATTTAATTGATATAATCTGTTCATTTGAAATGTTCTATATTTATTTTTTTAATGACAATTTTATATATATATATATATATATATATATATATATATATGTGTGTGTGTGTGTGTGTGTGTGTGTGTGCGCACACACACATATATTACACAATATAAATGTTTGGGGTTGATCAGTTTTTTTATGTTTTAAGGCTACATTTAATACAGTAATATTGTGAAATATTATTACAACTTAAAATAACTTTCCTATTTGAATCTATTGTAAAATGTAATTTATTTCTGTGATGCGCAGCTGTATTTTCAGCATCATTACTCCAGTCTTCAGTGTCACATGATCTTCAGAAATCATTCTAATATGCTGATCTGCTACTCAAGAAACATTTCTGATTATTATCAGTGTTTAAAACAGTTGTGTTGCTTCATATTTTTGTGGAAACTGTGATACATTTTATTTTTCAGGATTATTTGATGAATAGAAAGTTCGAAAGAAGAGAACTTATTTGAAACAGAAATACTTTCTAACGTTATAAATGTCACTTTAGATCATTTGCATGTGTCATCGCTGAATAAACGTGATGACTGAGACTATTTTTTGCTTTAACTTTTACACATGCTTCATAGCACCTCCTTCCAGCCTCAATTTAAGAGCTTAAAAAAGTACAGTGTGTGACAATGTCAAGATCTCTTCTGAAACTAAACTTCTGCTCAGGACATAAATCTAAGAATCAGGAGAACAAACATCTATATTTGCTTAGACTCTAATCTATATGCTGTTGGAGAGAAATTATATTAATGAGATCTCATTTGTGATTTTATATTTTCCTAAGGGATCAATTAAGCTTAGTAAGTCAACACATATATGTGACTAGTAGGCTAATGTAATCATGAAGACTGAAATTAATGTAAATATTGCTAATGATGTTGCCATAATTAACATGCTCTAGACTGCTGGAAATGTCAGAGACGCTAACTATCATCATAGAATGAGTAATAACTTTCAAAGTTTAACTCATGCTCTAAAGATGATGGGAATTAAATGCAGCAGAAGAGAAGTTGCTCCATGCTAGGTTAACATCTTTGGAGGAGATAGTTGGTCATTCAGTAATTGGTTCCTAATCCCTCAAAATATTATAGAATCCCTACAAGAGCAAACAGCCAACAATAGAGTGCAGTACGTCTGCAGAGCAGTGATAAGCGTCTTCGAGGTGCACCAGGGAACTTCTCCATTGTGAGTCTGGATTCTGACTGCTCTGTGGATAGAGATGCTCCCTATTGCGTTCATTAACAGGGAGAAAGGAACATTGTGGCTCTTTGGAATAATACAAAGGGAGGGAAGGACCATTTCTAATCCCGGGGAAGTGTTCCTGCAAGGGAAAGATGAAGTATTGATGTTGGCCTCTATTATACTGCTATGGAAAAAGATCTGAAGCCTTATCTGCCTGCCTGTATCTACTGAGGTCTTATGTAATAACGGAAAGTAGCTTTAAATGGGTCATGAACTGAGAAATCACATTTCCTTTTATCTTCTGACAAATAACAGGTCAATGTACTATAAAAACATCCTCTAAGTTTCAAAACTCAAAACTTTCTCGTTAGTTTAAAAACAGCTTTGATTGAAACCAAGCTCAGAAAATGACTCATTTTGGAATGTGTCACTTTATGATGTAATAGTGTGGCTAAGTATGAATTCTGCCCGCCTATAAAAACAGACCCTTCTGCAGAGAGGCTCAAAAACAGGATATAAAATAGCCTATTACTTCTAAATTATGTTTTTTTAATGTAAAATCACACTACCATTGTAAGTGAACCTCATAGAACATTATAAAATAATAATAAAAAAATGAAGTTCATGACCCCTTTAAAGATTCAATATGAAGTGGGATCTTGGAATAAAGACTCTCTATTTCAAGCACTGTAAGAGAACTAAATATACAGGAATGATAATTGTTCTTGACACTGTAACTAGTGGAATAATTACAGCGGTTTGTTGGTTTACTTCAATTAAGAATTATTATTTGGCAGTTAAACAGAAACTACAGACACAAAAATGATACAAAATAACTTTTACACTAGTGTTTTGGTAAGAATGGCAAGCCATTCACCCAAGCTATAAATGTCATGTTGCAGTCACATGAAACTGCAATGAAACTTTTTACTAGCGACTATCCAGGTTTACAACTATTAAGATTTTAGATTTATATTTTTAATATTCATATTATTTTTTATGCATCCCTCATTTTCTGCTTTCTTATTAGGGCTTGGTAAAAAAATATCGATATCTCGATATTAATCGATTCTCATTTTTACGGAACGATATCGATTCTTAAAGGGTTAGTTCACCCAAAAATGAAAATTAGCCCATAAATTAGTCACCCTCAAGTCATTCTAGGTGTATATGACTTTATTTTTTCAGACAAATCCAGTCGGAGGTATATTAAAAATTGTCTTTGATCTTTCAAGCTGTTTCATGGCACTCAGAGGGTGTTGCATGCGTTCGTCCAAAAGAAGTTAAATAAAAAGCACCCATCCATAAAAAAAAGTGTCTCACACGGCTCCGGGTGGTGAACAAAGGCCTTCTGTAGCGAATCGATGCGTTTTTGTAAGAAAAATATCCATATTAAAAACGTAATAATCACTTTAATCTAGCTTGCACTCACTGTTGTAAACTGAAGCAGCTCTGGGCTGATGACTGATAGATTATTCTATCCTGTTTTCAGTTATTGGATGGAATATTGAAGCACACCTCCCATCCAATATATCGCAATAAGCATTGTGCTTTGGTACTTTTAATATGAAACAAAGTCTCAGTCTGTCCATTGTATTGCAGTATTCAAACAATAAATGCCGTTTTGGCACTGTTTAATGTGGAGCGACAGATTGCTGTTGCGCAGCAGCGCGTAGCCAGTGTTGGGGAGTAACTAGTTACATGTAACGGCGTTACGTAATTTAATTACAAAATAAATGTAACTATAATCAGTTACAGTTACTAAGAAAAAATGTGTAATTAAATTACAGTTACTTAAGAAAATGTTAACGATTACAAAGGGGGTTAACATCTGAATATTTTCACACACATACAGATGTGATTTATTTCTTTCCCAAATTTCATTGCTTTAAAATATGAGACGCCAATGATTCAGGAGTTTAGGACACAGAATAGGACACATGCTTAACTGTTTTGTTTCCTATTTGGGTTTATATGCTTTATGTTTTAAGATTAACTGTTTTCTTCCTAGGCTTTGTTAGATGCCAGTGTTTCCTGTCATAGATATGCAAAGATTTGATTTCAAAAACAGTATCATAGCTATTAAA